AAGTCCGGAAGCTGCAGCTAGTGCAGAATGCTGCAGCCGGGCTGTTGATGGGTCTCTCGATGAGGGACCACATTCGGCCTGTGCTGAAAGCACTGCACTAGCTGCTGATAGCGTACTGGATTCGCTTCAAAGTGCTGGTTTTGACCTTTAAAGCCCTTTATGGCCAGGGTCCAGCCTACCTGAGGGACCGCCTTTCTCCATATGTTGCCCCAAGGGCACTACGGCCGGGGGGTGTCATCTCCTGGAAATTCCAGGCATTCTTGATTTAATATTCTCATCCATGTCTTTATATATATTACAACATTGTATTTATTAGCTTCTGCCACTCTCGTCGTCTTCTATTGTGCACAGCTTAGCTTATGTTTTGATTTTTTGCTGTGTGATCTCTTACTATCTAGATCACGGGTGTCAAACATGCGGCCCGGGAGCTGGATCAGGCCCCCAGAGGGCTTCTATCAGGCCCGCAGTGGAACTGGCTGTCTTCTGCTTCTGCTTCCAGTTCTGCTGCTGCTTGATTGCCTGCCCCCCCAAGGGGGGAGCGAGGCACCTGGGCACGGCTTAGATGATAAGACAATTGCAACAGCACAGACATTTTGATGCAATAATTCAGAGCAAGGGGTGTCAGTTTTCAGACACTGTTAAATAAACAAAATATTGCAAGAGTGCTAATGTTTTAAGCATGTTTTTATTTTAAGTAAAAAAAAAACCTTTGTGTTTGTGTCCTTTATAAAGTTTATATCTCCGCTACCCGGCATTACATTTTATGAAACACACGGCCTGGCCCAACAAGGTCTCATTTATGTCAGATCTGGCCCTCGTAACAAATGAGTTCGACACCCCTGATCTAGATGGTATGGAGGCCAGACACTGCACTTCATTACTTTGGAGAAAGTTGGATAAGCATGTCCCCCAAAATGGCCTCTGGCCTGGGAGCCTCTGTCTCTTGCAGACTCCAACAGACCAACTGACTGACTGACTGGCTTCTAACTAGTTCTGACTGCTTTCCCATCCAAAACTCAATAATATAAATAGCAGTTTCCCACCCAGGAACTGGCTCTCCCTCCTGCAGCATTCTGGGGCAGCTCTTCTCACAACCTTGTGAGCAGGGCTTCTTTTGTAGAAAAAGCCCAGCAGGAACTCATTAGCATAACAGGCCACACCCGACAGCAGAAACTCATTAGCATATTAGGCCACACCCCTGACAGTGCATCTCATTAGCATGCTAGGCCACACCCCTGTGGCTTCCCTTGGCTTGCCCGGGCAAGCTGGCCCTTGGACAGGCTGGGGAAGGCATGGGGAGGCAGATCCTTCCCGGGCCCCCCTGGCCCGCCCACCTCGGAGTCGTCAGGGGGTCACTCTCCAGGCCTTCCCTCTGTAGCCACACATGCAGAGGTTTTGGCTGTAGTGGGCATGGCCAGCTCTGAAGCCAGCCGGAACTCCGTTCCTGTGCGTTTCTGCCCCAAAATAGCCCTGCTTGTGAGGCTTCCTGTCCTCTCTAGGGAGCTGCCCTCAGATTACTGGTTTTAGACAGGAGGGGAGGGGGGGAATGACAGGAAGGGAGGGGACTAGGCCGAGGCCTACCTCAGGTTTGATGGTCTCCTCCTATCCAGCCCACACCAACTTAAACACAGACTGGAGAGCCAGCAGTGCAGCACTGGGCAGCTGCTCCCATGATGCTTTACTGCTGCAGACGAGGTTGTTCTGCCATGTTTAAGCCACAATGGAGTGGCTCCCCCCACTCCCTCCAGCACTCCCTCGCTTGCACTAGTTGCTCGCGGGCTGCCTAAGAGCCCTGGATGGGCCAGTTCCGGCCCCCGGGCCATATGTTTGACACCACTGTTCTAGAGGCCGTGGAAAGGGCGCTGAGCCTGGAAGAGAAGCAGTTCTGAAACATTTTATTAATAAAAAATTGAGCCAGGCGTTTCCGAAATTGAGGCAAAATAGGAACAATGGTTTACCAGGGACTGATACCAGAAAACAGAGTATATTCCTTGTAAATAGTGACACTTGGAGTGTGTGTACTCATAGTAGTTCTAATCTCAGCAGCATACATCCCCTCCCTTTGGAGTACATCAGTGGAAGTTTCCTGAAATCCTTCTGGATTTACACCAATGCGAATGAGCTCCCGAATCCTGCAGGCTGCGTTAGACATTCCAATTGTGGGACTGCTTATCTCAGCGTTTGCTCAGAAGGTCCTCTGTGAACCTTGGTGAACAAATGAAAGGAGGGCTATTTTCCCCCTCTCCTCCTTATCTTATCTCATTACCCCTGGTGACAGTTTAACTCACAACACAGGCAAGCTTCACGTATATCTGTACTACACTGAAAGGCGCCTGGATTTTTCCAGCGTGATCTGAGTGAAATCGATTGGCCGTGCGCGAGTACCTAATCCAGAGACACAGTTTGTTCACTCATTAGGAACACGCTGAGAAAGGGACAAAACTCGACATTCCTGTCCCTCCTCGGGAACTGTTCAGGCCATGTTCACACAGGTTATTTACATTTATTTATTTATGCTTTCGGCTTGTATCCCGCTCCAACCCCGAGGGGTCTCTGAGCGGCTTACACAGTTTCATTTACCGATCTATGGCCACATCGTCAGGGGTGGGGACTGCCCTACCGGCACCCAATGATGGGACTCGCTGTTCTTCGGCTTTTTGGCTTTGGCTCGGCTTCGGCTTGGCTCTTCCTCTTCCGGTGGCCTTCGGAGTCGGCTGTTGTTTCCGGCGGGCCCATCTGGCGCATGGTTCGCATCAGCCCGGCTCCGGCTATGTCCTTTAGGCTCCGCCGCGCCTGCGCTTCTACGTTCCTGCGCCTTCTGGCTCCACCTCCGCCGTCATCCGATCCGCCGCTGGTGTTGCGCCTCCTTGCCATCACTGCTCGCCACTTCCCTCATCCCTGCCGCCTTTCGTCACCTTGCTGCCTTCGCGCGTTGCTCCAGGCAATGGAGTTCTTTCAGGAGGAGCCATAGCTCAGTGGTAGAATGTGTGCTTTGCGTGCAGAAGGTCCTAGGTTCAATCCCCAGCATCTCCAGCGGAAAGGATCTGATATCAGGTCTTGTCTTGAAAGAAGACCTCTACCAGATATCCTGGAAAGCAGCTGCCAGACAGAGCAGGCAATGCTAAATTTGATCGATCATTAGCTAGGGATGACACGATCGAGGTTTATAAGATCATGCATGGGACAGAGCAGGCAGAGAAAGAAGTCCTTTTCTCCTTTTCTCACAATACGAGAACTCGTGGGCACTCCATGAAATTGCTGAGCAGTCGGGTTAGAACAGATAAAAGGAAGTCCTTCTTCACCCAGAGAGTGATTAACCCATGGAATTCACTGCCACAGGAGGTGGCGGCGGCTACAAGCATGGACGGCTTCAAGAGGGAACTGGATAAACATATGGAGCAGAGGTCCATTGGTGGCTATTAGCCACAATGTATAGATAGGAGCTGCGGTGGCTCAAGTGGTTAAGACGCACGTCTCTAGTTCCAGCTCCTGCCAACCTAGCAGTTCGAAAGCAAGAAATTGCAAGTAGATAAATAGGTACCGCTTCGGTGGGAAGGTAACAGCGTTCCATGCGCCTTGGTGTCTAGTCATGCCGGCCACATGACCACGGAAACATCTTCGGACAGCGCTGGCTCTTCGGCTTTGAAACGGAGATGAGCACCGCAACCCTAGAGTCGGACTCGACTGGCTTTCGAGCAAGGGAACCTTTACCTTTATAGATAGGAACTCTCAGTCTGGGGCAAGGGATGCTCTGTATTCTTGGTCCTTGGGGGGGGGCAACAGTGGGAAGGCTTCTAGTGTCCTGGCCCCACTGCTGGACCTCCTGGTGGCAACTGGTACTTTTGGCCACTCTATGACAGAGTGTTGGACTGGATGGGCCATTGACCTGATCCAGCATTGGCTTCTCTTAGGTTCTCATGTTCTTATATGGATTTCTGTGTGTTCCCGTGCACACTAGAATATGAGGAAGGAGATGGAATTTCCTAGAGTGGTGTGGATGCCATGACATTATGTATAGGTTCTCACACACCTACGTGATGGCACGGCGTCTGAGTGATGATGCCCTCCATTTCGCCTCCCGCTGTTCCACTGAGTAAGTGCAGGGGAGGACGCAGTGTGTGAGTGAGAGGTTGCCTATTGGGGGGGGCGGGCAAGTGGTAAGCCTAGCCCCAATGTTATTTATTTGCTTCAGTTAGACCCCGCCTTCCTCCCCAGTGGGGACCCAATGCCACTAACGTGGCTCTCTTCTCCTCCATTTTATCTGCACAATAAACATCCTGTGTGGCAGGTGGGGGTGAGAGGGTGCTACTGCTCAAAGTTCACCCAGCAAGCCTCCATGGCAGAGTGGGGATCTGAACCCACGTCTCCCAGATCCTGGGCCGCGGTGGCTCAGAGGTTAAGATGCTGAGCTGCAGACCGGAAGCTTTGTTCTCGCGGCAGGGGGCTCCCGGATGTGCGCGCGCCGCATGCACGTCACCCGGATGTGACGTGATGACGCCGGGCAAGCTGGGGGTGGGGCCACAGCCATTTGAGGGGGAAACTCTATGTTTTCCCCTCAAATGGCTGTGGCCCCGCCCCCAGCGTGCCCAGCGTCATCACGTCACATCCGGGTGACGTGCACGCCGGGGGGGGGGGTTTCCCCCGGGGCCCGATTCCGCGGCGGCGGAAATCGGGGCTCCAAAGCGGGGGGGAATCCGCCCCCGGGGGGGAATTGGCAGCCCTAGTAGCTCGGCTGTTCGAGACCCGAGTGCCGCATGACGGCGTGAGCGCCCGTCTCCGGCCCCAGCTCCTGCGAACCTAGCAGTTTGAAAGCAAGAAATTGCAAGTTGAGAAATAGGTACCACTTTGGTGGGAAGGTAACAGCGTTCTGTGCGGTTTGACATTGACTCATGCTGGCCACATGACCACGGAGAAGTCTTCGGGCAGCGCTGGCTCTTTGGCTTGCAAACGGAAATGAGCACTGCCCCCTAGAGTAGGATTCGACTAGCTTTCGAGCAAGGGGAACCTTTACCTTTAACCTCCCAGATCCTAGTTTGAGACTCCAACCTCTGCACCACACTGGCTCAGCGATAAGGTTGGAGGCTACTGCTACATTCTACCTCCAACAGCTGCTTCAAGGGAGAAGAGAGGCCTATCTTCCGTCAAGTGTTCTGGGCCCCCCCAAACTTGTATTTATTGAGATATTTGGTTACTATAGCAAAGTTTGCCCAGTCACAGAAGCGTGATACTGCATGCAGTACATAAATCTCCCAAGAAGTAGATTAAAAAAAAGGTAAACATTTATTCAAGGATATCCAGTTCACATTCAGGTTGCAGTCGAAAGGAGAGAGGGAAGTATGATCTAGAGAGTCCTTTCCCTATCACAACTGGCCACCTTGTCTGCCATTGTGTGTGTGGGAGTATGAGGGCATTGTTTCTTCAAGAGAGACCTGCAGAGACACATGTCTCCATGGAAGGCCATGTGTAGAGAGGGAGAGGACAAAGGGGGGGAGTCCCTGGCCCGTAGCTAACATGGGGCCCACGGGGCGTGCCCCCCTAGTGTTTCTTCTGGGACCCCTCCCCTGGGCTGCCCCCAAAGTGCTCTAACTTACCACCTGCACTATACTTTCATTTATTAGCTGGCAGGCCCCCCTAGACCCCCTCCCAAAAAATTCCCTAGCTACGGGGCTGGGGGGGGGGACAAAGGGAGAGAAGGGGTCAGAGGGCAGCTCCCTGGTTAAGACAATGAGAGACATCACTTTCAAGGAGATAACACCTATACACCAGGGGTGTCGAATCATTTGTTATGAGGGCTGGATCTGACATAAATGAGACCTTGTTGGGCCGGGCCACGTGTGTCATAAAATGTAATGCCAGGTAGTGGATATATAAACTTTATAAAGGACACACAAAGAGGACTTTTTAAAACTTAAAATAAAAACATGCTTAAAACTTTAGCACTCTTGCAATATTTTGTTTATTTAACAGCGTCTGATAACTGACACCTCTTGCTCTGAAGTGTTGCACCAAAATGTCTGTGCTGTTGCAATCTTGAGTGTGCTGTTCAGTCGTGTATCTATAAGCTGCTAACCTGTGATGATGCAGCAGCAGCAGAACTGGAAGAAGAAGCAGAAGACAGCCAGTTCCACTGCGGGCCTGATAGAAGCCCTCCGAGGGCCTGATGCGGCCCCCGGGCTGCATGTTTGACACCCCTGCCTATACACCGTGAGAGTGATGTAGTGCTTCCCAATGTCCAGGCATGCTGAGTCACTCGCTCCAAAAGTATTACCCTAGCTCCCATATGTTTTACACTTTCAGAGATCAGTAACCATCAGGAACCATGGAACATAGCTGCTCCATTCAGCATGAATATAAGAAACCTGTTTTTTTTTAAGCAGCTGCAAGGTGTTTGTTTGAAAGCTATGCTCCATTGCTAGGTACACACAGGGGTCGTTTCATAGAAAAAGAGCTAGGGGAACTCATTAGCATAACTCATTAGCATATACCACACCCCCTGACATCACCGGAAGTGTGTCATAAGGCCACACCCCATGACATCACCGGAAGTGTGTCATAACGCCACACACCCAGCCCCCAACGGTCCCGGCTGCCGCCGCTGGCCTTGCAGCTCTACTGCCGGGCCCCATGAGGGGCCCGGCGGTGGACCTGCAAGGCCGGCGGGAGTGCAAGGAAGCCCCGCGAAGGCCCTCCCTGGTTCCAGGCAGGCAGGGGTGGGGAGAGGCAGGGAGGAAGCAACTTACCTTCCCTCTTCTCCTACCTCCTCCTGGCTGAATGAGGGCCAGAAGCGGGGCGGCCGGAAGCAGGGGGCGGAGCTTCGTCATGTGCCCCGCCCCCCATACCTCACCCGGGGGAACTGCGATCCCCCCCGAAATGACCTCTGGGTACACAACAACGAAACAGTTCTGAGACATATTTGAATACTCTTCTCTGGATCTAGCTAATTTAATTTAAAATGAGGGTGGGCTTTCGCTATTCCTTTCTAAAATTAAATTAGTGCCAAAGGCGTACGGGTTTGCAAAAGGGGTGGGCGGATAAGTAATGTGAGCTGCTGTGATTATCGTATTTGTCATTTGAAAAGGCCAACAAACAAAATTCAATTTGTAATAAACATATTGTCAGTTGTCTTCCTCCCGGAAAACAAATTCTTTTAATAAGTTTTCTCATGGCCGTGAAATACCCCGGATTTTATGTTGACACTCAGGAGATTTTTTTCCTTATTTTTCCAGTTATTGGCAATTGTTATTTTAGCTGGCATCAATACATTTCTAGGCCATTACCGTGTCTACAGTATTTATCATCAGCGGGGCCCACATTCCTCGCAAAACTACCACCAGGTGTCCAGTGATATTGAATACGCATTAAAAAAATCTGCTTTAATATGATTACATTTCCAGGAACATGCCTTTGCTGAAGATGTAATCACATTAAGACACATTTTATGCACACTTACGGAACGATGAGATTACAGCAAAAGAATCTGAATACAATTGGAGAAATGACAGGGTACTCAATATATCCTTGGACTCCTGGTGGTTTGGCTAGGAATGCTGAACTGAGTTACAGAGCTGTAGGGTCTCTTTGGTACTGAGTTCACAGAAACATTTGTACAAATTTTCACAAATGTCACTGGTGCAGATCTTCTAGGAATTCACCGTCTCCTTTGAAACTCACCTCGTTTTTCATTCAAGCCACTTCCCTGTCTGTTTCACTGACTATTCACAGATAGTAAAGCGAGTCAGGCTGGTTATCAGCAAACTAAGCTGAACAACTGGAAAAAACCTTGGCGACCAATGGATGAAGCTAGACAGTCCATTTCAGGATCTTTATTTTTTTTTTTTAAAAAAAATATTTATTTAGATCAGGGGTGTTGAACT